AATCGGAACTGAGCATTAAGACCTGCAGTGTGAACGTAGCCCATGTCTACATGCCTAAATGCACTGAGTTGCCGCCATGTGATTGGCTGATTAGAAATTAAGTGTTAACGAGCAGTTGGACAGGTGTACCTAATAAAGTGGCCGGTGAGTGTACATTTCAAACTTTGTCAAAAACATGTCGCATTTAATTTTTTAAGTAACGTTTAGTCAGTCAATTTTGTTTTACAGCTTTTGTTTATGATTAAATTTATTTACATTTGACTCCAATATGTTAGATAATGGCACCTTCTTAAACAATGGCCTAAGTCATTTTTCCACCAAGAAACACAACTTAACGCTTAACTAGAAGTGTACCATATAGATTTTTAGAGGTTTCTTACAAACTTGAAAAACACAATAGGACATGCTTTTTTTTTCTTTTTGAGTGGTGCTTAGTTTATTCTTTTGTCAATATTAGTCTGAAATTATCCCAGATGAACAGCAATATTTTATTTCCCCAAATTATTCATACATGATGTCAAAGTGCAAGTAAGACAGAAAGACAATGCATTATAACTTTGTCCTAATTAAAAAGAAATTCTACGCATCAAAGGAAGAAAATAAATTATGAACGAGCATGCGTCATCTACCCATCATGCATTGCAATGACGTGCATGGCGACGTCCGTGTGAAACTATTTTTTTTAATTTATAAAAGCTAAACAGCCTACAGTTTTTTTACTGTATTATTTCTATGTTTAAAATAAATATTTCTCTAATAAAATATGTTGTTAACTAATTGTGGATCACTTTAACTAAAGAGAAAACCAAAGTTTAATAAATGCGTAGAACTAAATTAGACGTAAAAGTGAAAGTTTTGTTGAACATGTCCATCAAATTGTATGAATTTGGAGACTGGTACTGCTGCAGCAGCATAACATTCTTGACCACTGACCACCTTTCTTTGCCATTCTCTATAGTAAGCACACGAGGGCAGTGGTTCATCACATTTGTATTCATTTGAACTTTATGGTTGCATTCATAGCCACAAAAGAGCTCACACCACTCAAAAAATCTATATTAATAGTATACTGTATTAGAATAACGATGATGTATTTCTGTTTGCGTTTTCTATAGAACACCAGTGTTCATGATGAAATAAATAAAACATGAAAGTATTTATGTGAATAAATAATAGATACACATACAACATGATAATGTAATTGTGAAGAAACTGAATGCATATATAATTCTAAGCTCATTATAATGAAAGACTTTCATTTTCCTTGAAAATGTGCCTTTAAAACAGTATTCCAATGTGATTTTTTTCCCCAATAACCGTGATTGATTTTAAAGCATTTTTATTTTAATTCTATCAATTTTTATTCCAAAATGTATTTTTCTCAGTCATCTTTTTTACATATTGTTGTTTTTCCCATTGGCTCATTTATTTCATAATGACACTTTACAGCAGAATGACTTGGTCTGTCAATCACTGTCAGTTGGCTGGACCTGCATGCCCATTGGCTGATCTTTGCACTTCGATTAGGTCTCCTGAATACTGGCTCACTGCAAGCTTAGCTAACAACGACTTGCTGGGTCAAGGGTCACAATGACAGCTTTTATGCTTATKTGAGCTGCAATTTTAGTTTGAGCTCCATACTGCAGCCTCATAGGAGCATGCATTGCACTTTTAGTAATAATTTCATACTGGTATGTGATTAATTTTGTCTGGGTAAAGGAACAGCCAATCAAACAACTGGCTCCYCCCTGTTTCTCCTGATTGACAGTTAAAGTCATTCTGCTGAAAAGTATCATTATGAAATAAATACGCCGTTGGGGGAAATATGAAATAAAATATGTCTTTGTGAAAAATACATTTTGGAATAAAAACTGCTAGAATTAAATTAAAATGCCTAGAAAATAATCTATATTATTG